AGAAAGTATATTTTAACATGAAATATAGTAGTTAGATATTTTTTATGAAAAACCCATCTGAAGAAAATTCGTCTAATAATCTACTCTCACCGAGGAGATAAATATTTCGTTATTCAAAAGCTTCATAATATTCGTGTTAGACATCATTCTGTTTGTAAAGCTGGGTCAAGTGGTTATTAAGCAGCCTCAAATTGAGTCTGATGGGAACTCATTTTCTGGAGATTTCTATGCTTAAATAAAAAGACTAGTCTTGATGGTGTTCAAGCTTGTAGTTGTTATATTAGATTTTATATTTTATTCATTGATTTATAACTTATGAGATTAAAGAAATACCATCGATTACATAGTAATATGTAGAATATAATGCAAATGCCTCAAATTGTGTCTGATTGGAACTTATTTTCTGAGGATTTTTATTATTTGTGAGGATTTATTATTTATAAATTTATAGTTTATCAGATCAAAATAATACCATAAATAGCATGGCAATATACATATATATTAGAGCAATGCTAATGACAGGTGTTATAAGAAGAACTTGAAAAGTTAACCATTAAAACATTATTTTAACACAGACTACCTTTGTAAACTTACACAGGTTACATATTTCGTCAGCATGTACTAATTGTCTGTTTACCTGTCTACTTGTCGATATGCTTACTAATCATCCTATCCACCAATTTACGCGCCTACATGTCTACTTTTTGCCAGTTTATTTGTCTATCTGCCTATCAGTATAACATTCAGTCTGTCTACCTGTCTACCTACTTACAGGTCTTCACTTTTCATGTTTACCTAATTTCCTTACTTCCAGTCCAACTCTACTTATTTATGTATCTGCCTGTCCTCATATTTACCTGTCTACTTGTTTACTTGCCTTGTTGTAAACTTCTTTACTGTTTTAATTTTCACTGATTTATTTCCCTACTTGTCCACCTGTTTAACTATCTACCTGTCTACCTATTCAATTGTTTTCCATTCTTTTGGTTTACCTGTTTAACAGTCTGCAAATCTATCTGTCTAGATTCCATCATTCTACCATTCTACCTGTTGTCTATTTTACTTTTCTTCCTGATTACTTATTTTTTGGTTGTATATCTATTTAATTATCTAACTATCTATTGATTTACCAATAATTCTATTTTCAATGAGAATGATCATATGAAATAGTACAGACCACATTTGACCATTTGAACTCTCCTTCTAAATATGTAATAAATTCTTCAAATTCATTCAAATCGGTTAATCCATACTTCTAAAATCGTGGATGATAATTGTATCCACACACGTATACACACACACACACACACTCATACGACCATTTTTTCTTAGGTATGCAAAATTGTTTAGAAAATTTTGAAACGTACAGATCCGACAAAACTTTCATTTACGATTTTATCACTATAACTTACTCATAGATAATTAAAAATACCAAAATTATTACAAGGTATTCTATTGAATAAGATATTTTTATTCTGTATTACTCTACAGAAAGTTTATTAAAAATTGTAAATGTGACAAAAATCCATATAATCTTTTTTTAAATTTTATTACTTTTGATATTATTAATTTAATTCAATACAATAATATCAAATTCGTAATGGCATACGTATCGTGCTGGATTTGTGCTCTGGAAATCAAATTTATTAAGTTCCGCCTCCGCACAGCTGCTGTTAAAGATATGAAATATTGCATTTTGTTTGGGGGCAACTCATTCGGGCTTATACATATTAGCTGACTGAGATTTTATACGTCGCGATTTTTATGACCGTATTTACGATAGCTTATATTAAAGGTGATACTCGCTCTGACAGAAATTTTATTAGCAAAATGGTGGCTAATGCTTTACCCACGTCGAAAAGGATGAATGAAAACAAAATTGAATTTTAAGAAATAAGGTCATAATGGAGCTGTTTATGTTGTCGAATGAATATTTCCACGTCTCGCAGTGCCTGAAATATGTTTCTTCATCTTTCTCGTAATAACGTATTACTTGTTACAGACGCAAAAAATATTTAGATACAAAAAATGTAAATGTAAAGATGTAGGTGGACGGTTTTTCAGCTGACATTTACCTTTTAAACGTAATGATTATATTGCGGTTTCTCGTGATCTTTCTGAATATAATTAAACTGAGCAAAATACAACCGTATGGTTTCATGTTAGTGCCAACTTTATTCAACTTGTTGAATACGGACCAGCTTTTACGGATATTTTATTGCACTATTGCATCCTTCTTACCAACTATATCTATAAGTTTCTCTGTCCGGCTAGGTCATACTATTCAAAGAATCAATACACACCAAGTACAAAAACTTTTTAATATTAAGATATAGGGGACATAAAATGAAATCAAATTCTTTTTTCATATAAATTCATAGTGAAAACTGTCACAAAGCTATGTAATCGCTGTGCGATCAAGTGTTTTACACATAAACTTAAGTTTACGTATATGTTATTATGACACATCAGAAAGATACAGTTATTAAAACATTCTTTTTGACTTTTGTATATTTTCTATGTTAGGTTTTATATCTAAAACGCCTGACTTCGCAGCAAATACATGGCATATTGACAGTTTCTACATCCAAATTATATGAAGAATAAGCGTAACATGGCGTTGCCATAACAACGCTATATTAGGGTCTATTTTATGCGCGAATTTGGCCTTACATTTTGTATAACAGAAAAAATATATGGCAAATATGATGCCTGAATTAAGTAATTTATATATTAAGTAATTTATACATAATACTAATTTACAACTTATTTAATCTAATTGCATAAATTAGATTAATTCTAGTTATATGGCATTTAAATAATTCCATAACTATAGTTCGTTATTTCACAATTAATCATTTTGTAGAAAAAGTTTGGGGTTACAACTTACCCCGGGCTAGCGCATTCACATCTGTCGGAGAAAGTAGTAACGACATTAATTTATATGATATATATTTTTTTCAAGAAAATTGACTTGTTTTTAAGTAATTATTTTTATAAATCAATGTAATTTGTGATTAATACAACTAAAACATAAAGTGTTAACGTAAAGGGTATCCTATAATAATTTTTTTTTATCATAACTCAATGTAAACCACATTATACTTGTTTATCTATGATGTAAACTACAATTATTATTATAAAATAAATTAAAGATATAGTGTCTTCTGCTCAATTCATATGTTCTCGCATTATACAAACTATAAATAATATCCAAACTTGATGATGCAGGGTGTTTTACATGTTTAATCATGACAACGAACTATTTTAATATCATTTAAGAGCCTATTGAAAAACGCCTGTTACTATTTACACCTTTTACAATAAGCACTCAGTTCCTCTAATATTTACAATACAATTATAATCAACATTTTAGTAATAATAAAATTAACATAGTTTGTTTTAAATCAACCATTTACAGCCTCTTATAGCAAAGTGAACATAATTCACAGCCATCAAAATATTACATGAACATTCAGAATAGAAGAGAAATAATCCATGAATTTCGTTCAAATACCTTTTGCTCATTTTTTACCCTGTCGTTCGTCCGATTTCTAATTAAACAAGCGTTGATAAATATTTGATTTTTTGCTCGTTTTTTGTGTAACTGAATTTATATTTCCAATGCGCCGTTCGACGCTACGAATAACATATTTGAAATATCGTCCATCGTAGATATTCGATGCAACTGACATTTCATTTTGATTTGTCTCGAAGTCTGAAATGTTTACGAATACGAAATATGTATGTATATAGATTGAAAATTATATTTTGGTCTACCTGTATTACAAATAATTTTGATGTACTGAAAAATCTGTTATATTATTGAATTAGATATTTATTAATATTGATAATTTAAAAACTGGTCTTTTGAGCTAGAGTAATTTTGGCCTAATTATTATTAATACAAGTAAATGGTAAAAATTCTAGAAAAAATGCAGAAACTTGAAAACTTATAGGGTAGAGCATGTCTTAAAGCTTGATGCTTACGACGTTGTAATCGGTAAATTAACATTAAGAATCCATAACAAAGATATTTTATTTTATTCCTAGTTTTTCTGGTTGTGAGCACTGTTGTTTAGTTTACAATACCTTAATATAATTTTTAGGTATATATTATTTAAATTTTTTATATGATATATTATAATTTTTAAGTCAGATTCATACTTAAGAAGCTTTCTACAAGCTTTCACGTGATAGGGGTAAATAGAACCTTTACCCTGGCAATGATGTAAACAATAAAAAATAATAAATAAATAAGTAAATTCAGTTAAAAAAATAATTTTACAGAAAATAAGATAAATGAATAGTTATTCCAAATCTGCTGATGAATATTTCTAACTAAACACCAGATCAAGGTGTAAAATTTCTGTACAGTGTTAACTCTGCAAAAAATGTACCCATAAAATTTATGTTGTCAATTTGTTGAATAATGCAGCTATTATTTCGTAAAGTTCCTTCAAAATTAAAAGTGAGTCACAAGGCAGTTTTCAGTCTCATTTTATCCCTCTCATGTGGTAAAAGACATTAGGTGACAAATTTTTTAAAAACAGCAAAAAAGCATTTCTACGATGACGAACAAAAAACTATTCGACTATAGTAATTTGTTCAATATGTTTTATTGGTTGTGATATAATTGTTTTGATTTTTCAATATAATTGCTCAAAATCAAATTGGACCTTTGTAGCCTGCCCTATCCTGTATTATCATTTTACATCAATGCCATTTTCTATTAAAGTATTCTAACTATTTAAAATGTTTTGTAAAGTGCTTTGTAAAGTAAGCAAACATATATGTGGACCAAACAAAAATTTTTCAAAATCAATTCAATTTTTCAAAATTCAATTCAATTTTTTCGGCAAGTCTGCTTCGTTACTGGTTCGAAGAGTTAATTAACAAAATATTTGTTCATGTTTGAATGAGTTTAGGTTTCTTAATTAAACTCTTTCTATATTATATTTCAGATTCCATATTGAAAAGTTTTTTTTTATTTATTGCAGGTTTCATTTTTCTCGACAAGTCCAGAGCTAAGCAACAAACAGCGTTTCGAGTACTTTTCGAGGACCATACCATCGGACCATTACCAGGTCAAAGCAATGGTGGACATCGTAAAACAATTAGGATGGAGCTACGTCTCGATTATTTATGAAGAATCCAATTACGGAGTGAAGGTATGAAACGCATTCTTGCGATTGATTGTTTTCAATTAACTTGCGAGAACGTTTTAAAACAAATCCCTTGATAATTAAATGACATAATTCGTTCTAATTAGATGCTCAGATAAATCCTTGATGGAAATTTCCGTCTTTTTATTATAATTTTCTATGTTGTTCACATTTCTTGAATTATTGAATATTTTTATATCTTTTTAATTTCCGTAGCTTTTCTTTTTATTGTAACTCGATTTATTGATTTTATTTTAGTAATATTTTATAACGCTTCAATATTGTGATATTGAATAATTTTTACCTATATTTTAAATAAAACTATACTTTGCTACAATGTAATCAATTATTCATGCGGTAATTAACTATTTTTTATTGTTATTATATCATTTGTTATACAATAAGAAAGTATTCGAAAAGTGTGAATGTCGCTAATATAATTTTAATAACGAAGAATAAAAATGGACAAACTCTTCAAAAATACTTTAAGGTAAATCGGCGGGCCTTAAAAATGGACGACTAAAAAGATCCATGATCGGTATCTCAAAACAAGTAATGTTAGGAATTTTTTAACAACAATATTTGAAAGTAGAGGGGAAATGATAAATTACCAGTCATCACCTTGATGCTTATAACATCGCTATGGAGAGATAAACGGCAATATATATTTTTTTGTGAGCACTATTGTTTAGTTTACGAGCCCAGAATATATTTTTAAGTATACGTTATTTAATCGTTTTGTAAAATGTATTGTTATTTTTAAGTTAGATTCTATAGTTGTTTTTTTTATTACCTCTATAAAAGCTTACCTGTGGGTGAAGTAAAAATGACCGACTGAACCTTTACCCTAAGAAAGATGTAAAAAATAAACAATATTAAAAAAAATATTTAAGGTAAAGAAAACACCTTTAAAGATAAAAATTAAATAAATAGTTGTTTCAACTATTCTGATAAATATTTCAGACAAAGTACGAGATTAAGGTTATATACAGTGTTATGTATGTAATAAATGTATCCATAAAATATACATTTTCCATCGGTTGATATAGCTATTATTTCGTAAAATCCCTTAGAAATTAAAAATATGACATTTGATCTTTCTGTCCCCTGACAACCTATTTCACCTCACCTATGGGGTAAAAAGGAAAAACGGTTCAGTTTTGGAAAAACGGTATAAAAGCACATTTCTATAATTTGGGAAAAAGTGGGAATTTTACTAAACAGAGTTCGATAGTTGTTGGTTTGATACGTGTTATGTCTGTTATATAATTTATCTTGTGTCCCTTTTTACTCCATAGGCTGGGACAAAGCCATCGGGTAAACAGATACAATTCTTGTTTTCAATTTTAAAGAAACCTTTAGAAACAATAGCTAAATTATAATATTTAACCAATGCGGAGCAAAAATTTCATGGGCACATTCTTTACAAATATTACACTGGACCTTGATCTGGAACTTTGTCAGAAATATGAGTCAAAATCTTTCAAAGAGCTTTGTAATTGCTTTTTTAACTTACTGTACTTTTGTATTTACCAATATCTTGCTGGTGTTCTTCTTACCACACCTGCATGTAGCACAGGTTAAAAATCTGTTGGAGGTAACTCAATAATAATTATACATCTTATCAAACAATTAGATAAAGTATACTACATTATATACTAAATATACATTGTATACTAAGTATACATTGTATACTAAAATTATATTCAAATATCATAAACTAAATAAAAGTGCTCATAAACTCATAAACTACCAAATAAAAATATGTTATATTGTCATGAATATTGATACTTGGTAGTTTATCTTTTGAAAGCGACCTCGTTTAAGGGGGCAGCCTGCTTTCGAGGCTTCAAAAAATTGCTTTTTTATGTATTTTTAGAGAAAGAACAAAATACTTAACTGAAGCGAAACTTTCAGGTTTCATTGCTATATATTTCAACATTCTTCTCAAATTTTTTCATTAAAATATATGTCATAATATAATGGGTTCAAGCGTTTTGTCGATGCACCACAATTTACATCCGAAACAAAAAAAATCATAACAAATATATATTTTCAATAGTATAGACTCTTGTTGAACTTAAAAAATCCAGGAAAAAAGAAAAAATCACCAATTTTTCGCAACTTGTAAAAAAAATCATGTTCTATGATACAAAGTTTCACTTTAGATTGAGTGGGTTAATTATAACTTTTTTCAGGTTCAACTAGAATAGAATTTAATCCTGAATACGAGGAATTTTGTTTCGTTTCGCGCCTTTCCCGCCAATTAGGAAGAATCGAAAAAATTAAAAACCGAGAAATCGCGTGCTTTACGCTTGCTCACTATTTTTTCTTTAACAAAAATAAATTGTAACAAAAAAAAAAAAAAAACTATTTTTTCTGTAATTCTGAAAATAATTTGAATTTGTTTCTGAAATTTTAGGGATATTTTCTTGCCAAGTTTTGGAAGACATTCTTGCAAAAAAAATGTTTTTTTTAATCCTCTAAAGCAGGATTAGGGTGATGGCTGGTTGTGTATTTTTTACCTCCTATTTTAAAATAGCCTTGCCAAAAAAATCTATATTTACCTACTCCTTTATATAATCGCGGTAGACCATTTTATATAGTTATTCATTTATGTATATGATTTATATGTCATCATACGTTCATATTTTCATACAATTATATTTCACACGTCTAGAATGTTATTATCCGCATGTCACGGGTGTGTCAAGATGACACAAACTTGGTTATATATATATATATATATATATATATACATTATATATATATACATATATATGTTTATTTATATACATATCAATTTGTAAATATACGCCAATATGCATTGCGTTATCATATCAACTAACAAACCCCATTTTACCCGCATCATTCGGACGTAATCTTGATCGAATGTCATGTGATTTCAGGCGTTCGAAGAACTAGAGGAACTGCTGGGGCGGCATAGCATCTGCATAGCTGTCAAAGAGAAACTAGTCAAAGACTCCGGAGTTGCTGAGGAGATAGCTTACGATAATATCGTTCTCAAGCTACTCACGAAACCGCGAGCGAGAGGTAAGCCGTCAAGCCGATACTGAAGCAGATCGATATTCACGTTCTGTATTCAGTCTCACAACAAGTAATGTTACTTGCATTGTTAGAATCGCTTTGTGAACGTCCCTTGTAATAAATTCCCTCGAGAAACAATGATATCTACAGCGTTTTCAGAACAATTAACATTTGATTAATGCCATTCGTCAATCTTGTCATTTGTTATGCAGATCGGACCTGTCTTTACGTACTATACTTGTACACACTCTTATATATATGTATGTATATATATTTATATATATATATATATATATATATATATATATATTGAAGTATGTGAGTTTGGTGTTGATATATATTTTGATGAGTTATTTAGAATTGGGCAGTAACACCAAGTAAAAAAACTAAAGTAGTTTTGAAATACTTTATTTATCCATACGTTTCAGTCTTCATCGAGACCGTCACTAACGTATTTAGACGTTAGTCAATTTGTACATACTAGAATCAGAATGTAACCAAAAATTGTCAACAAAAATAATTAGTTTAAATGTTCCAATTATTAATAGCTTGCTTTATCACAGTGTAATAGTGTAGTGTATTTTTGTATAATTAATTTCTTTCCGCTGAATGACGGTCTCGATGAAGACTGAAACATATGGATAAATAAAGTATTTCAAAACTACTTTAGTTTTTTTTTTACTTGGTGTTACTGCCCAATTCTAAATAACTCATCAATATATATATATATATATATATATATATATATATATATATATATTTATATTGAAACGAGTGTGTTGTCAGGCAATATTACCAAGTTAAAAAAACTAAAGCAATTAGGAAAACCGCTTTATTAATCCATACGTTTCAATCTTCATCGAGACCGTCATTCAGTGGAAAACTAAAAAGTTTATTTGTAATTAACTTAGGAAAGGAAATTGATACAAAATATTGGACTTAAATATTACAGACAAAAACAATTAAACACTACACTGCACTAATTGACGCAATATTAACCCCAAGCTATCAATAGTTTGAGTTAAAAATTAAATTTGTGTACATAATTGTTGAAGTCTAATTGCGAATGAATATTAAATATTTTTTTAAAACTGTAACGGAAAGTAATAAAAAGGGACCCGCTTATTCAGTAATTAATATTGTTTGAAAAATTGTTGAGCAATATTTTGTAATCATTGCGGAGTGAATAGCTGTCAAGTATCTTGTTGATTGCTTTATTTTAACGATATTAGACAACCTTCGCTAAATCGTCTTTTAAATATATTGGATTGAAAATGTAAAATACTCGGGTTTAGAAAATCAATGCTATGCTTAACAGTATTAATGTGATCTGATAACTTTGTTCTATAATGATTTTTGTTTTTTGAATTATTTCTATGTTGAGGGATTGTTTTGTGTAAATTTTGGCTAGTTTCGCCAATGAAAAATCCTTGGCAATTTAGACAATTTAATTCGTATACTAAATTACTTAAAATTTTTGGATCAAATTTAGATTTTAATTTAGTGAATAATGTTGAAAGAGTTTTATCTGAGGTAAAGACTACTCTAATATTATGTTTAATGAAGAGTTTTTTCTATGCGTGGTATAGATCGTTTATAAAGAGTAAGACGTGATTTTCGCGGTTTGGATTTTCCGTTGAAAAGTTATGGCGGTTTTGGAGGTATGGAATTCTGTTTCTAGTTATGGATATATATATATATATATATATATAAATATATATATATATATATATTGATTAGCCATAATTTTGTTAATATACCTAGGAGTAAAGCAAATTAAATGGTAATTTAGGCATTTGTCTACGTGGTAATACTGAAATAATGTACGATCGATTACTCATAGAATCAAATCATACAAGAAAAAAGCGAATGTCACCATCATCATTGGGTGTGAATGACTGTGACACTAGCCCCTACTTTTTTAAAAAAAAAATTTATTCTCTTTATTGAATTACAATCTGTTTTCACAAAAAGGAAGACATTCAGTAATTTTGGTGATATATAAAATATTGAACATTAGATCTAAAAGGTTACCCAGTAATAAGCCTTTTCAATTTTGATATATTAAATTTGAATTTTGTGATTATATAGAGTAAACTTAAAAATAAAATGATCTATGAGGTAAATGAGTATAAATTGTGAATTATAACAACAAATAAAAAAGACATAACTAATAAACTAAACACAATAAAAATATAAATAAACAACTAAATAAGTCTAGCCCCTACTTAAGAGACATTCTATGTCTCTAACGGTTTATAACGACTTTTAATTCAGAAATCATTTAAACAAAGCTTATGAATATAACAAAATATTAAAATATTTAAAATTTTATAAATTTTAAATTAACAAGACATCTTTGTGAAATCTTTTTTTCCTTATATTGAATTTTTCTTTCCCCATTTTCTCTATCATATTATGCCCTATTTTATAAATGGATATAATTGTTACCTTCCACAAGAGATTTTTGACCTTTGGTAAAAATTGACCTCGCCGATTTTTGCAATTGTTCTTACTGTTTTTGCGTTTGAAAAAATGTTTTATGATTATAGAGTTTATAAGTCTTAAAACTTACTTACTGAAATATTATCACCTACAAGATGTTTAATTTTCAAAATGCATCTTTCAAATAATTAGATGCGCTTTTAGAACTTCAAGGATCTTTAATTAATATAATTACATATAGTATAAATTGCATGATTAGTTTTCAGTAAATATGTAAAATTTAATTTTTACACCAACATTTATCTTAAATGCTAAAGTTCAATTCTTATCGATTAAGTAAATTTTTTGCACGTATCTTATTAACGTATAAGTTTAGAAAATATATAACATCAGTCAAATCTTAGATCACTCACACGTATTTGTCGTGATAAAATTTATTTGTTTAAGTGTTTTATTTATATATTAATATAAAATTTCAATGCTTCAATATTACGCCAAAAGTGTTGTCGCTATTGATATACTATATATAATTCGTGTTAGTTCTATTTATATTTTTAAAATAGCAAATTTTAGAACTGTGGTAAATTTTAGTATAGTCTATTATTGAATATTAAAAAAATCATGTTTTTCATTAATTTTATGCTCGATCATTAGACTCTTTGAAAATGCACCTATCATAAATATATAATCGATCGATCGATTCTTTTATTTCGTTTAACGAGGTTGAAGACTATAGTTCCCTATATTAAATATATTTTTGCTTAGTAACAGGATGCTATTATAGTCCTTTATATTTCCACTCGCCTTAAGATTGTCTTTAATCATGGGAGAGAAATCTTAAAAATTTAATATATTCTTAATAATGCTACAGAGTCTGTTAATAAACATTCTACTGACTGGAAGCGTTTAATTGTAAAGCACAAATGACATGGTATAGACTCGTGTTCCACTTATAAACGCATTTACATCGTAATACAATAATCCGGCAGACCTTGGACTTAGCGTTTATTCACAGTACGATAGACAGAGTATAAGGAGCTTAGGTTAGGCTGAGAAGCCATTAAGACGAGGTCCTTCACAATACGAAATAGGACGAAGTTTAAATACTATACCATTTATATAACTTTAGCAAGAGCATTTGTCATTATATAATATTACTACTAATTAGTCATTCTTAACAAAACAAAACACAGAACAAAAAACCATTAGGTTTAATTAAGAGAGCAGTTAGTCACTGCCGTCTTCGTCCGGGGTGATACTAAAAGCTTTAAAATGAACATATTTCGTTTCTTAGCTACTAATAATGAACTCGAATACGCATAATCCGCATTTCGTTAATGGATATTCCATTAATATGAATTAACTGAAAGTGTTGAGGATCTGATACCGATCCATTGCGAAGTAATTGCTATGAGTAATTACGATTGAATTACATGAAATTATAATGCGTGTAAAAGTTTCGAATTAATTAATTCTTTGGCAACTAAACGTATAAATTCTACGAATGTAATCAAAATACCGCACTTGGTATTTTGAAATGTATATATAGGGTGGCCCAGAACTCAACGACAGAACAAAGCGAGGTGATAGTGTTGAAATTGATTGTAACTGTCATAAAAATTATCGAACGTAACTATTATACAAAACTATCATGACTAAAATTAAAAATAAAAAAATCTAACATAGATTGAGATTTATGAGCTTTTATGTGCAACCTATAGCTTCTGTGAAAATTTTACCATTTTTCGGTTATTGTGGTCAAATTTTATTAATTTTGTTCATTTCAGCTTTGAATACTCAATTGTAAATAATATTAGGCAAAAATTAGAAATGAAAAAATCTCAAACAATTTGAAATTTATAAGCTTTTATGTGAAACCTAGAGCATTTGTAAAAATTTTACCATTTTTCGGTTATTGTGGTTAAATTTTATTAATTTTGTTTATTTCAGCTTTGGATGCTTAATTGTGAATAATATTTCTAATTCGCAGTCAAAAATTATGGCACAAATGCCTTATAGTATAGGAGCCAGCAACGTTTTCAAAACAAGCATTTTAGTCAGGCTGGTTTTTTGGTATGTGGTCCTTGGTGCTTTCTCGGTTAGGGTACGGGCCGTCTGGCAGCTGGAAGTGGTTGCGTTAATTAGTGCGCAGCCAATTTGTACAGCGCGATTTCAAAATTCTGAAAGCATTTTAGTCAGTCCAATTTTCGTTTTTTTAACTTTGAATAGGTTCACCAGACTCAAATTTTTTGTTGCCAGACATTTTGGGCGCTGCTAAATATGTGCCAGACGCCAATTTATTTATTATTTTTTAAAATTCAAAAAATTTATTTATTTTTTTAAAAATTCAAATCATTTTAGTCCGTCTGAAATTTTAGTATTATGTTCGTTAAGGGTAAAAACACGTAAAATTAATTTGCCAGACGTTTCTGCGGTTGTTAACCATGTCTGGCAATCAAAAATGTCTGGCAATATGATACTAGTTTATAGCATTTTAGTCAGTCCAATTTTCATTTTTTGACTTGATATTTGATTTGATAACTTGAATGAGTTATCCAGAT